TTCAAAAACCCTAAAAATGCAGACTTCGTAGAAACTCTTGATTTAACTTGCTTTCCACAGAGCATCCTATGTTAAAAGCCACTGTAAATATCTGTGATTAAATGGCTTAGTTTATGGAGTTTAGATGCAGTGATCTCTAGAGTAAAAGCCTTAGATGAAAAAAATCCATAGAGATTTCTCGTAACTTCTTAGTTCTATTTAATATGATCATCCATTTGCTGGGATTCATGCCCTTCTGTGAAATGTCCACAGTCAGAAAATCAGTTGATCAGATTTTCCACAAATCCCCTTGAGTGGGTAATCCTGTATGCAGATCAACCATCTGACTAGATTTTGAATATGGACCATCTATATTTCATGTCCATTTCTTTTCCCATTCTCATCCACAGAAAGGAGTAGACAAAGAGTTTTATCTGCTTGCCACAATATTTGATGAAAATAAAAGTCTTCTCTTGGATGAAAATATTAGAACATTTATTACACAGCCTGAAAATGTGGATAAAGAGGATCCAGATTTCCAAAAGTCTAACAAGATGCACTGTAAGGGAAAGTTTGCCTTACAAGATAGATGCATTAAACATGCATTTAATGTCATTTTGCCCAAAGAATTGCAAATTGGGAGACTTACATTTTCCCCACAATGGTTGGCTAATACATTTTATGTTTCCTTTAAATATAATTTCACAATAAGAATATTGTCTACTAGGGTGATTATCTTAAATTTAATTAACCAGATACCAACATCTTTTTGGTGTAATACATTGTTTTACCTATAGCTAAATGCGAAACAGAAAAATCTTGTATTTCTCTATTGCTAAATTTATAGAGTGGGTGAGGTGGGGTGTTTGTTGAGCTGGTTGGGTGGGTAGATGGGTGGGTGGTTGGTTGTTGGTTTTGGAAGACTGTACAGTGTAGTAAGAAAAGGGTTAGTCTACAATCTGGAGACTTGGACTCTGGTCTTCACAGTTCTATTCATTGGTTGAATGACACTAGACAAGTACCTGCCTCTCTTGCCTTGGTTTCCTCAGCTCTAAAAGGAAGAAGTTGACTGAGTTGACCCAGTAAAAGCATCATGTAGTTCTGTCATTCTCTAATTCTATGTCATTTTAGCCTCCTATGAAGTGATTAAATAACAATGGAGGAGAGACAAGTTGTAAACCTTGCTATTCTTACATGAATGAACTGCTTCATGATTAGTCCTTCGTTGAGTTTCAAAAGATATCAAGTACCAGTAAATTAAATACTCTTTTCTTTATTGCAAATGTCTTGCAGCCATAAATGGATACATGTATGGAAATCTGCCCAGACTAGAAATGTGCGTGGGAGACAAAGTTTCATGGCATGTTCTTAGTGTGGGATCAGAGAAAGATATACATGGGATTTATTTTTCAGGAAATACCTTCACTTCCTTAGGAGCAAAGACGGACACTGTAACTGTGTTTCCCCATACCTCTGAGACGCTTTTTATGACATCTGATTCTATAGGTGAGTAGTGAATGTTCTCATTCAGCCTGAAGCACCAAAATATGCAGAAGCACTGTCTTTATATGCACTGAATATCTTGCACACACACACAAAATGGAACTGATACAAATGATGCTTGGGAACATTTGTCCTGCTCCATTTAATTTATGGAAGCCTTAGTAACTCATTTCCCTGTACACACAAATCCCCTCAGTCTCTCCTGGTCCTCTTCCTGGGCCTCCAGGCTTTAAATCATCCCATGCTCTTCAAAAGGGATTAAGACATTTTGAAACCATTTAACTTGTTTTCATTCTATTACCTTCTGCATTTGTTACTCTTCTGTCCATTTGTTTCCCAGGCCTTCCTCCTGCTTCAACCTTACCCTGCTCCCTCTGCCTTCCTCTCTCTATCCTTCTCCACACTAGCTTTGCTCTCTAGGTAAATGTTTCAGTTTCAGTGAGGTTGATACTTGCTGGCAACATTTTTGAAAGAAGTCACCCCATATCAGAGAATTGTGTGGGGATCAGAGAGAACCAGCTTTCCCTCTGAACCTAGTTTCCTTATTTGTAAAATAGGGATTATAATAATTTAAAATACACAAGAAGGAATAGACAATGATCAAATGAGATAAATGTAGTATAGTGCCTGGCATATGTTAGACATTCCATAAATGTTATCTCCTTCTTTAATCCTGCAAATCTACCCTCATCCCCCTCCATCCCCAAAATTCATCTGTCTTGGTCCAAAACTACCGACACCAATGAAAAACTGTCTGTGCAATAAACCAACTACTCTATAAATACCATGAACTGGTATCTTGACTCATTGTGATGCCAAAGACTCATTTGACTACATTTTCTACATTTCAAAATTTTAGATTTTACTTTTCAAACAAAAGCTGTGATTCAGAGCAATTGAAGAGGAAAAGAAAGCGATTTCTCCCACACTCGTCTCTTCTCTTGCTTTTAGAGGTTGCACTCACGCTCGCTGAGCAGCAAGTGATTGCCTGCCCTGCCGAACTTCCTCCTCCCCTCTATTGGTGTTTCCCTGGAGTTAAAAATTGTCTTCTCTCATTCCTTTCCTAAGCGCTATCAGCTGTTTCAAACATGTGGAGACATCTACACTATGTGTCAAGCACTATGCTAGAGCTTCTACAGGGATTATTTCATTCTAAACAATATTTTTTCCCCAAACCCTCTGAGTCTGAAGGTTTTGCTTCCTCATCAGTCTTCTTGAATCTTACCCTCCACAGAAAGTAGCAGAAACAACAAAACAAGTATAGAGTTGAAAGAGAGTATTAGTGCTGACGAAGGTAACATTAAGATACAGCATCAGAACGTGGTGGGCCTAAAATTACCAAAGTAAAAGAAAGAAAATTAGAATTCACGTGGAATGTACTGGTGTGAACCAGGCTGGAGTGTTTTTGTTGCAGTCATCATTTTGGATTTTTAACAAATTAGATTGATTCCCTTCAACTTCCTTTCACTACCTCCACTGCTACCTACCACTCTGCTCCAAGCCACCATCATCACTCATTGATTGATTATTTTAATAGCCTCACAAAGGTCTCCATTCTTCCACCCTTGAACACTCTAGTTTATTTTCAGCACAGCTGCTAGAGCGTCCTCATGTCCTTCCTTGACTTAACATCCACCATGGCTTTCCATTTCACTCAGCAAAAGCTATAGTGTACCCAGTGGCCCTGTAACCTGGCCTTCCACTCCATCCAGACACACAGGACCCTTGGGTGGGAGTCTTCAGACACACCAAACAGGCCCCTGGTTTGGGGCCTTTGGCTCCTGTTTCCTCTGCCTGGATTGCCTTTCCTCCATATCCACCTCACCTCTTATAAGTCTTTGCCCAAATGTCACCCTCCCATCAAGGCCTACCCTGATCACCCTATAAAATATTGCTATTTGCTCCCTTGAGCCACTCTCAATACTCACTCAGAATTCTCAATCCTCCTTTACACTGCTCTATTTTTTTCTTTAACCCATAGCTCTTAC